TGAACAGTGTGTTGTCAGATTGAAATCAGAGGTCATTGGATAAGCAGGTCTTCCTAACTACTTCAGCATTATTGACATTTGGGTCAGGAAATTCTCAGTTGCACAGGCTGTCCTGTGTTTTGTAGGATATTTAGCAGTATCCCTGGATTTTATCTTTTATGCACAGGATATGAATAGCACTCCCCTTCCCAGCTGTGACAGCCAAAAATGTCTTCAGATATTGCCAAGTGTCCCTGGAGGCAAAACTGCCCAGTGTGGAGACTCCATATGCACATATATACATACATGTAGACATAGCTCTCTCTCTCTATATATATGTGTGTGTGTATATATACACACATATATAGATAGATACATACAGACACACCTCTATATCTGGATAGAGCTCTCTATATATCTATAGATATAAATATATATTATATATAGATGTGTCTGCATATATGTATATACGTGCATATTGACATATTTCCTAGATTTGTCTCTTGAGACTTGGCAGCAATGACATGTTAGTAGCAATGAACACCTATGGCATCCAGAGGTTGGGTTGTAACTACCATTCTTGTTGAAAAGAGCCTGGACATTTTGGAGAAATGGCTTCTTCCAGGGCCAGGGCTGGGGCAACATGAGGTGAACTGGTAACATCTTATGTCAGAAAGTAAGAAAAGCTCATAAAATGATGGAACCAGATCAAAATGATATAGGAATTTGCTTGAAGGTGCTCCCTCTCACCAAGTCTTGGGCAGCAAATTCAAAACATTTGAGCAGTGGCCAGGCATGGTGGCTCATGCCTGTAATCTTAGCACTTTGGTAGGCTGAGGTGGGCGGATTGCCTGAGCTCAGGAGTTTGAGACCAGCCTGGGCAACATGGTGGAACCCCGTCTCAACTAAAAATACAAAAACGTAGGCAGGCACGGTGGTATGTGCTTGTAGTCTGAGCTACATGGAAGGCTAAGGCAGGAGCAGTTCTTGAACCTGGGAGGCAGAGGTTGCAGTGAGCTGAGATTGCACCACTGTACTCCAGCCTGGGCAACACAGTGAGACTCTGTCTCAAAAAAAAAATTGAGCAGTACAATGAATAATAATTTAATAAAGTAAGAATACACAGTCCATACTAAATAAGTAAATGAGAGAAAAAGAGAGCTCTTCCTTACTCAACTAATGGATCTCAACGAATGAATGCAGAAGAGTAATGACTCCATCAATAGAAGATCACACAGGCTGGTAGTAATTGATTCAGCATCTCAACTAATGGATCTCAACGAATGAATGCAGAAGAGTAATGACCCCATCAATAGAAGATCACACAGGCTGGTAGTAATTGATTCAGGATCTCAACTAATGGATCTCAACGAATGAATGCAGAAGAGTAATGACTCCATCAATAGAAGATCACACAGGCTGGTAGTAATTGATTCAGGCAACAGTAATTCAATGGATGCTAAAACTGGTGGGTGAAAGAGGGTAAGTAACAGTATATTTACATCATACAATTTTTGGAAAGACATGATTATGTGATTAGCATCTTGCATAAGTGCTTTTATTGAAAGATCAAGAGAAAGACGTCTAAATTATGATATAGTTCAGAGTCAAAAGAGCATGTATAATTATATTTATCAGCATCAATGCTTGGCACAATAAATATTTGTTAAATGAATAAATAATAATTCCCTTTGAAATATAATATATGGCTGTGGTATCAATATCAAAATCATAAAGATGCCATCATGACACATGACCAAAGTAGCTGGCTGCAATTTTCTTAGCTTGCACCATCAGCAGAGAAGTTTTAAATGTTAGGGCTTCAGCTGTACCTATAATTTAGAGTTTTGATGCTGAAAAAACAATATCTACTAGTAAAGAAGTCAAGTATGAATTATTCCTTTGTACTCCGAGTCTTTTAATATGAAGTCTCACTATGGTAAACTGACGAAAATACCAATATGTAAATTAATTAATTTATTTATTTTTGAGATGGGAGTGTAGTGGCATGATCTTGGCTCACTACAACCTCCGCCCCCCAGGTTCTAGTGATTCTCCTGCCTCAGCCTCCCGAGTAGCTGGGATTATAGGCATGTACCACCATGCCTGGCTAATTTTCTATTTTAAGTAGAGACAGGGTTTTGTCATGTTGGACAGGCTGGTTTTGAACTCCTGACCTCAAGTGATCCACCTGCCTAGGCCTCTCAAAGTGCTGGGATTACAGGTGTGAGCCACCGTGTCTGGCCAAATTTATTATTAAGGAGTAAAAGTTGCACATTGTACATTATGTCATCGAACAGAATGAATTTTTTCCCGATACAATCATGGGTTCCCAAGCAGCATGAATGTTTTAAAAAAATATTATGTAGAGTGATTTCAATTTTTGTTGGCTTGTACACCTTTCTATTACAACAGTTTTCACAAAGCTGAGATGATCTGATTTGCACACCAGTCATGAAAACCAAAAGACCCTGAAGACCTACCTGCTCAGGATTTTTTGTCTCCTAAGTGGCTCACCCCACCATTTTTGGTTTCTCTATGCTTTATGTAATTTAGTAGCTCACATTTCTCCCCTCGGCATCCACACACACTGCTATTTCTTTTCTCTGCTTCTTTATGGTGTTCTGTCTGCACCACTGATTTCTATCTGCATTTGTATCCAGAAGAGCATCTAATGCTCAAGACATTTGTTAAACTCATCTGACTACAACAACACACATGTAGTTTTTCATATTTAACCTGCTAGGTATCCGGTTTGTGGAAAAAAACCCATTGGCTGTTGAGTTGTTGCCATGTTGATGCTCTCAAGTGACTTTCCTTGGAGGAGCATTTGAACATAGAGAAATATTTCTTACCTCAGTAATTATGCTGAAAGTTCATTATGTTCCTCCTTAAAAATATTTCTTAAAGATGCAAGAAAGAAGGTTGGAATTAAGTGGTTTAATTTATTGATGCTTCTTAGCCCAAGTGAAAAGAGAAGATATACTAATAGTAATTTAATAGTGATGATGATAATAGTAGTTCTGTTATATAGAGACCTTACTATGTGCCAGGCATGGTTCCAAGCACTTCAAATACATTAGTCCATTTAACCCTGACAACACTATAAAGTAGGTACAATTATCCCCCAATTTATAGAGGCAGAAATTGAGCCACAGAGAAGTTAAGTAACTTATTCAAAGTAATAAAGCTGGTAAGTCATGGAACCTGGGCTAAACATAGGTGGTGTGGCCCCAGAGTATGGATCCTCATCCACTATGCTGAATTCATATGCCGTATGATTTCCATGCAAAATTTTCTTTTGTCACTGATATGGTTTGGCTCTGTGTCCCCACCCAAATGTCATGTTGAATTGTGATCTCAAGTATTAGAGGTGGGGCCTGGTGGGAGGTGACTGGCCCATGGAGACGGTTTCTAATGGTTTGGCACCACCATCTCCCTAGGGCTGTCTTGTGACTGAGTTCTCATGAGATCTGGTTGTTTGAAAGTGTGTGGCACTTCCTGCTTTGCTCTGCCTTCCTCCTGCTCAGGCCATATGAAGACATGCCTGCTTCCCCTCTGCCTTCCACCATGACTGTAAGTTTCCTGAGGCCTCCCCAGCCACGGAAAACTGTGAGTCAGTTAAACCCCTTTTCTTTATAAATTACGCAGTCTCAGGTATGTCTTTATATCAATGTAGGAATAGACTAATACAATTTCCTTTTTAGATAGACGGAACTTGAGAGTAAAGTAAGGTTATTTGCATAATCTAATCACACTCTAAGCCATGACCTCACAGTCTAAGGCTATCAAGGTGTAGCACATTATCCCCATGAATTTGCAAATGAATTTGAAAGGAATTGAGTTGACAAAGCAGATTCCACAATTCTGACCATTCCAGAAACGGAGTTAGGTCACTGTCTCTGTATCAGAAGAGAGAAGCGCCACCATGGGTTTTGATTCAAAAGTTAAAGCCATGTTTGTGATTATCTAAGTGCAAACGCAGATGACAATACTTGGAAGTGCTCTTCTAAACCATCTTTTGTCTGATTATAACCTTCAGCAGGCAGCAGGAAGCCTTACCATGTGTTACTCCGGGGCTATTGTGCAGTCTGTGTGTGTGTGTGTGTGTGTGTGTGTGTGTGTGTGTGTGTGTACAGAAAGGGCTCTATAGATTTCTCTCTGGGGGCAGATGAAGCCCATAAACATGTTCTATCCCTATGATATGTGCATTTTAGCAAGAGAAACAGTAATATAAACCAGATTTATTTCTCTCAGCTGAACTTTAAATTCTATGCTGTAGATTTTCGTCATCTATTGATGAGCAAAAGTGCGGTTTGTTAAAGTTTTTCTCAAAAACATAGTGTGAAAAACATTCTATAGGTAAATATTTGTGCACGTTCTATGTCTTTTAGACATTAGAATGAATTCCCTAGAAGTGGAATGACTGCACCAAAGTCTATACAAACCTTTCTGAAGCTTGCAGTCTTGTACCATGAATTGCCAGATTACTCTGCAGAAACATGATGCTAGTTTTCAAAGCTTACGGTGTCACCAGGCAGAGTATAAATAACTGTGTGTTGGGCTAATAACACCAGGTATTATCTTAAACAGAACAAAAAGCAAACTTTGCCAATTCAAGGTGTGGGGAAATGGCGTTTTATTATTTTAATGGATACTTATTTTATTTCTAATGAGGATAATATTTTATGTGGTGTGTGGGCCATATGAAGTTCTTTTGTGAACTGTCTGTCTGCTGTGAATATTTTTTTCTATTTTTCTATTGACTTATATAAAACTCTATTTTCACGAAAACAACCAGAAGTACAACTTGCTGAGTAGTTGCCATGGGTGTGGTGCTGTGCTAAGCTCACTGCTATCTTCTTCATGGCAAATATTTCCCCAGGTGGTTTGTGTTTTAAAATACTCTCTTGTGAAATCATCACTCCTATTTCTTGAGGGAGTTTTTGGAGCAGTCTGTTTTAGAAGTCTGCATTAGTTCATTTTTAGCATTTAACATCTTGAGTGGGGGCCTGTGTAGGCTGCCCCTGAGATTGTGCAGCTCTGAGCGTGTCCTGCAATAGGAAGGGTGCCGGGTCCCAGCCTGAGAGTGCATGTTCTCAGTCGCTACCCTGGACGCCACGGCCTGTGACTGTGCTGGGGACCTTAGAATTAGGTTCTAGGTGCTCCGTGGGCAACGCTCTGTGTCTTTTCTTCCACAGATGCCAAAGGGACAGAAGTTTGAGGGCCGGCATGCTGAGGGACACTGGTGCCACTTTCCAGTGACACTAAAATATGGGATCACAATGGTCCAGAGAGCTCTTGGACACTTACCTAAGCGTCTCTTGAAAACTGCATAGGATTACGATTGAGAAAAAACAGCAACAACCCACTGGCCCTCAAAATATCGTGAGGCAGAGACATTTCTCTTGTGGTTTTGGAAAACGTCTACCTCGTTGCCATGGTTACACAAAAGCTGGTTTAAAATGGCTCCTATGTTGGCATCTGGGCCAGGGCCTAACCATCCGTCTCCACCATTTTCTCTACTGCCTACCTTTTCCTCTCCTCCAAGAAGACCGTAGGCACCCGGCATGGCTTCTGGGTGTAGTCACTGTGCCAAGCTTAAGGCTGGGCCAGTCCCACGAACTGCTCCTGCCTCCACTGGCTCACTCTACCGAGTCTGGACTTGCCACATATATGCTGCTGCCTGGGCTCCCTTCAGCTTCTCGCCGGCTTCTCACTGGCTGTCATTGCCTTTCCTTGCTTGGAGAGGTAAGACTTGAGCTTTGGCTTGGGAATTGGGGTTGAAATAGGCAAAAGCAGTCTTTCTGTCTGCTTTGGCTCTGGCCCATTAAGGCTGGTGGAAGCTGGGGAAGGAGCTCTTCGCTCAGTTCTGCCCTGTTCACTTGGTCTGTGCCCAGGGACCAGGAGTCACCTGCTTCTGGGTACGGGCCTTCCTCAGGGACTGCAGCAGAAGGGCAGAGGGTGGAAAATGGTCAGGTGTGGTTTTCAAATCTGGAAATGCTTTGGCATGGATTAGAACGTTTGTTAAATCTAGATTCCTGGGCCCTGAATTCCCTTTGTCTCAATAGGATAAGGTAGGACCTGAGAGTTTATGTTTGTAATTAATTAATTGACTAATTATGCACAAGGTAATTCAAATACAGCTTGTCTGGCCTTTGGAAAGCAGTGATTTTGGAGCAGAAATAGAGTGGTCACTTGTCCTGGCGAAAGCATCTAAGGACACATGGCTTTCAATATCCTCCTTCTCATAAACCCGAACAACAGTTTGGTGCCACCTTTGCACAGAGAATTTTTTTAAATGTAAGGTAATTGTAGTAATGATTAATACCAGTTAAAGAGGATTGCTTTTTGCAAATGTGGCCTATAAATACAGGATCCAGTAAGGCATCTGGGAGTTCACATTTGGCTTCAACACCACCTTGGCCTCGATGGTGACTCATCTCCTCATCCAAAAATTGCAAGGTGGATGAATCTACAGTGCTCTAGCTTTCACATCCTCCGCTATGCACCCCCAGTTCTCATTCTCTTGTTCCTGCTTTCTTACCTGCTCATTTCCCATAATGAGGGCTGCTGTGGCAGACACCAGACACCGACAGGCCTGGTCCCAAAAGTAGAAAGGTTGTGTAAGAGTGTCCAAAATATACTTAAACATCCTAATAAGGCTGCTTCTCAAGTCGCCCACATAGTTGAATCTAAAGTATGTCAATGTCCATTTGGGAAGGGCCCTTTAAAAGCCACTGGGCAGATGAAGGTTGTCCTGGAAGCTTGAGGTTGGTAGGTGAGTGCATACATATAGCCCAGACCAAAAAATTCATGACATCCCCCCTCCCACAGACTGCAGGAGTCAAAAAGTTCCCTTGAGCAATTTTTACCTCTAGACATCCAGCCAATGTCAACAAAAAGTGCCTCATGTGCATCTTCTGAAGCTCAGTGGCAGATGGGAACAACCCCCACAAGGTTTGTGCCAGAATGAAGCTGTGATATCAGCCTCTAAGATGGAACACTGCAGAAATACCCTTGGGGGGGAGCCCAGGCCCTGCCACCAGCAGAAGCCTCCTGTGCTTCCCACATGGCCAAAGGGGGTGTGGCTGACGATGGGGAAAAAGTATAAAATGTGACAAGGGCAGCAGGGACAGGGCTACATTTAGAGGGGCCTGGCCTGGTCTCCATCTATCTCATAGATAAAAATCATAACAGGACCAGTGTTAAAAAATCACTTTCCCAGTTCTAAATACTCATTTGATATCCATTTGACCACTTGATGCTAGGCACTAACTGGACAGAAACAAAACACTTAAATCGATTGGTGCACATATCATTAGAAAAAAAATTCAAGAAAGAAAAAGAATCAGATTCAGCTTAGGAAATGTGTTCCTGGGATGCAGCGTGGAAGCCAGGTAGAAAAAGCTGGGCCACGGTCTGATCTCTATTGAGGGACAAGCCAAAGGATAGACTGGGGACTGGGTCAGGGGAGGTGACAGAAGTTAGGGGTTCAGCTTGACATCCAAACGAGTTCCACAACTTAGAGCAACATGATGCATTGCACTTGGGAATTCACGCATTTATGCAACTAATATTCTATGGACTTAGGTCTTCTAACCTCTGAGGCTGTGCTCTTCCCCAGTCACCATCTTGGCCTTGTTACTAGGAGCTAAAGACAAAATAAGAGGGGAATTCAGATGGCTTCTGCCTCTCTGTAACTTATAATGCTGTGGGAAAATGGATATGAATAAAATAATAATGCATGTAGTGGACTCAGAATTGATTGTCTTGATTGCAGAAATGGAATGTTCTCTGTTTTCCCATATGTGAGCTCCATTTGTTCTCAAGACCCCATTTCTGCTAAGGCGTTCAAGAGGCCTTTTTCATAACCTCTTTGGTAATTTCACAGCCAATTTAGAAATCAAGTTTGATGGATTCAAAGCTTATTGATGAATGAAAGGACTTTCCTCTCTTATCAGGAGTTTTCCCTCCATTCTTCCTCTCTAGGTTTGCATCTAGGAGCAGAAAAATAACACAGCAGCTTTCTGGCTATTGTTCCTTTCCTGAAAGTCTAGCCCTCCTGGTGATTGGCCACTGGCCTTAACTACCTTTGCATCCAGTCCCATCTGGGTGAGAAAATAAAGACATAGTGTGAATGCTTCCCTTCTCATAGTCCTTAAGATTTTGTATCTGCCTGCCTTTCAGACAGAATGGAGGGATAGAGGAAGAGGTTGGCTAAAAGGAGAGAACCTGATACAGTGTTTTCCAGTGGCCACAAAAATATTGGTAGATTTGTCACAATGATAGTATTTAAACATATCCTATCTTTCTCCATAGTATCCCCAAACAATCTACTATAGGCATACTGTCAAAGGGCATCAATGAGTCGCTGAGTCTGGGGTCACTCGAGGTCATTAGAGGCCATTAAGCACTAAAGGATGGATTTGAGCCTCTCTTGCACTCAGCAGGCAGCAGCGAGGGCAGTCTCTCTGGGGAGATCTTCTAGGTAAGAGTCATTGTATTTAGTGAATTTGCCTAATCACAGAAAATGGAACAGCATTTACTAAAAAGAGGTAGTGACAAAGTACAGGCTTTCCATTAAGGGCTTCTTCATTTATTTTAATTAGTGACCACAGCCATGACACTGTAAAAGTAGATTGCAGTGTGAATTTCCCTAAAGGTTCTGGTTCTGAAAAGAATACTTTCAAGGTCTATATATGTTAGACAAGCCAGGCAGCTCCTTGGAAAGGAGAGACTCTCCAGAGGAGACTTGCAAAGATGAGTTATTTCAAACTTGTAATCACTGACCAATTCATTCCTGCACTCACTCAATAAACGTTTAAATATCTAGGGGCATCTGCTTTATGTTGGTGTAGATGGATTGATTGAGAGATGAATGGAGAGACAGAGGGAGGGAGGGAGGGAGGGAGAGAAGAGAGGCAGACACAGAGAAAGAATAATAAGCATCATAGGGAAGGGGTAGTCTATGACTTCAAAACACTTACAGACCTTTTGGTGACATGAGAGTATATATATGCACAGAGTAAAACAGTATTTTCAAAATTAAGAGTAATGTCACTCAGCAGTACAAAGATCTCAGACGCTGTCTATGTCAAGATTTAGAGCCAAACAGAGCCCAAGGGAATGGACATGACTGATGAAAGAAGGCACACCCAGGGCAGGACCAGGGTATGCAGCGAAGGGGAGATAAAATGTGTATAGACACAAAGAGAAAAACTATTCATGGAGCAGTGACTACACAAGTCTGGCTGGAATGAGAGGGGTCTTTTCAAAAGAAGCATGAGGCAGTGTGACAAAGGATCAAAAGCACAGGTTTTATCATGAAGCAGTTCTGAATTCAAACCCCTGTTCCATTTCTGAGTGCTGTGTAGCCTGGAGCAGTGACTTCACCTTGCTGTGCCTCAGATTTTTAAAATCTTTGAAACTGGAACAAAACCTTGTGTCTAATACAGTTTCTGTAATGATGGTAAAAAATAATACATACAGGCCTGACATAAGCAAATGCTATTTCCCTTACTTTTTGTACAAAGTGCTATATAACACACAAAACACTTTCATAGATACTAGCCATTTGACCCTCACCATAACCTTGTGAGATAGAAAGGGCAGGTATAAATATCCTCATTTTATGGGTGCTTGGAGTTTTTTACTATACATCCAGAAAAAGAAATAAATGGAAAAACATTCTATGATTAGCTCAACCAAAGACTTGAGGATTAATTCAGTGTTGGGATTTAATTTGATAGGTAATAGGATACCATTGAATAGTCTACCCCAGAAAAATGAAGGGCTAACAGTATTTTAAGAAGGTTAATCTGGCAGTGGTAGGCAAATTGGATGGTAAAGGAGTTATTCAAGTATGCCTCCAAGGCAAGTGTTTTGGGTATTGCAGCTAATAGAAGTATCAGGTTATATGCTTCACGATGGGCTGCTGATGCAGTTTGACATCATTTCCTCATCACCAAGAAGATATAGGCAGTGGTCCATCTGCCTTTCTTGTTTCTCTCTTCCTTCCTTGCAAAGTGGTGATAATGATAATGACAGTAATACAAATGAAATAATAGCTATGGGGTCTGAGTATCAACAATGTAGTGGAACTGTGTTTATACAGTAAAACCTAATATTCACAATGTTGATGATGGGGACTGTCACTATCAGAGAGGTTGATAACTGGCCTAGGGTAACAGAGCTAGTGCTGAGAATACAGGTTTGAACCCAGCTTTCATTCTAAAATCTCAGTACTCTACCATTTTCCCTTCAGAATTTGGAAGACTGTCTTTCATCACAGCAAAGGAAATATTTTATTTATACAAATTTTGCACAAGAGTCAAACCCCCAATGTTGGCTTAACAACTTGATTGATGGCACCAAGGAAAGACTTAACCAGCCCACAATACAGAGTACTCTCTTGAGGGGCATTTCAGCCTCTGCTAGGGGTCAGATCACCATCTTACAGAGTCTTAACCTATGACAGGGGTACAGCCTGAACCCCCTGGAGACTCATCTGCCAAGTCAGCCTCCTACTACTCTTTCTTGAAGGTCCAAGTCTGCGCAGACAATAGAGTATTCCTAAGACACAGCGTCATACTGATGTGAATCTGCTGAAAGCCATTTGTTTTCCCTGGATCAAGAGCGAGCTCTGAAGCCCAGTGATGAAGGCCTTCATCACCTGGCCTGGGCCTCTCTAGGCTCCACTCCTTGCTCTAAAATTTGCCCCCAAGCAACACATAAAATTCTTGTTTTCC